AGATGTACTTTGTATATTCTCCAGCTAACCTGGAAACTACCAACAGCTAAATTCCGTAGGTTATCATAATCATTTTCAAACACACCTAAGAACACGAGACAAAATGACGTATATTTACCAAAAGGCGTGAACACCCTAAAAGCAGAAAAAACCTATTAGTATTATTATCATCTTTATCATCATTTTTATCGTCGTCGTCGTTGACATATTCATCATTATCGTTACAGTTATTGTGTTGTAGCTTTATTGGTATAGCCTATCTCGGGTCGGTTTTCATACCCTCAGTACTTCTCACTTTCGAGTAATTTGAGGGGAGGAGGGGAATAATCGGGTAATGGTCTGTCACTCAATGCGAACGAAGAAGCAAAACCTCAAGTCACTCAAAGCTATGGACACCTGAGTTTGTTTTGGTGACGTGGGCCTTTTGACTAATTACTAATTACCACCATTCTCATAATGATCACGTTGTCTTTTACATCCAATCAGCTTCGATTCAACTTATTCATAATCAAGTTGTTTACAGGTCATTGACGTGTAAAAATCTTCGTCAGCTACCTCGGGGAAAATATGTGTCACAGATGTAAGTACGCCTTTTTTTTTTTTTTTAATTATTTTTTTTCTTATACACCCTATAAAATCAGCTTCAACATTTTCCATTGATCTACACTATCGATTAAGCGGCTTCTTTGACTTAAAAAATTTTAATATGTGTAGTTATTAAAAGTTAGCCGTAGCATAAAATAAAGCCTTTCTTGGTATAGTCATGATACACTGCAAGTCCCAAAAATTGCTCAAGTGTCGTCTCTGCAAGACAACGTCATCCAGTGCTAATTCCGCCCTGGCCTCTGTTGCGCCAAATTTATGACATGAATCTAAAATATGATGAATGTGGCAATTTTTTAAAGCTCACATTTCGTAGAGCGCTTTTAACTATTAGCACTTACCAGAGATGATCTCAAGGTTAGAGCGAATTCGGTCCTGCGCTTCACTGGGTTTAAACCTACCTCAAAATCCAATGTGAGCTTACGGGTTAATTGTCATCTCATTTCCAGGTCTCTCTTCTTATGGGGGAACTTAAGCTTTTTTTTTCCAAGCGAGTATTTGATTTATTTTTATTATCCAATCCTTAGTGAGTGTGCTCCCTCGACATCTCTGTACCTTATTTTGGACAACGAGCTAAGTAACTTCAGATTTGGCTTTTCACGCTCAGGTTTTGTCTGCCACGACTGTGCAACTTATAAAAAACAAACTTTATCAAATATTTGTAAAAACTGCAGTCTCTGTCCAGTTGGTACCTACATGTATACTGATGAAAACCGCTGTGTAGATTGTCCTGCAGGTAATGAGAATGAACATCTATTTCATCGTTAATCATGGTAGAAAATGATATAAATGACAACATATGAGCGCTGTCTCTTCAAAGTATCCAACAGC